GTCTATTTTACACATAGATTTTACATATTGTCAATCTATATTACAACAAGTTTATTTTTGTTATCCAGCACATGTATTTTTGTATAGGATCAATTAAATTGTGAAGATCACCTTAATTTAATGTGATGGTGCAATATTAAAATATTTCTATATTAAGATATTATGGGAATCAGAAGTATCACATTGAAAAAAATATTACTTGTGTTGTATACATTTTGGTATATTTACATATTAAGTAAATGAGTGTGGTCAATAGGCTAAAGAACACTTTTAGTGGGTGAACCTACTTGTTCACATAAGTGTTCAACATAAAACTTTTAGTGTGAGAACTCACAAATGATATTTCACAATTTATTTGAATCAAATTTGATTTTTTTCATTTAAATTTAATCTAAGTAAATGGGTCAAATTTGAATTTATTTCTTTTATGGAAATTCAAATTTTCTGCTCAAAGTACCTTGTGCATAATATTTGACCAGGAAAAAGCTAAGTACATATTAAATGTAGATAGATGTGTACATAACACTCACATGGTGAGATCTACTTGATTTTTTAATTTTGGTAGGTACCACTAAATGTGAGTGTATGTACACCCTATGTACAATATTATGTACCTATAACATTACGCACACATCTCGTTCTTAATTATTTATCTTTTTAAACTATTATTTCAATTATATTATATGTGATAAAAAAATATTACAAATTATTTTAAATCTAGAACGGATCAGCCGACCCGATGTACGGATCTATTCTTTAAAATTTACCGTAAAATCTTGATTCTCTAAGCATTATTAGGAATGATATACATAAATATAGAATTCAATATCATTTAATACAAATCATATTTCACAAACACATAGTTTTAAATTCTTTAATTTTCTGAAAAGACATTTATGATTTATCGTGAAATATGGGGACAACAAGTCATGCTTATTTAGGGAGGGAGCTTTTTTTTTTGTTTTTGTTTTTGTTTTTTTTTTTTTTTGTTTTAAGTGATATATTACGAGTTTTTTTACATTCAGGATTTTTGTATATTTTGTGACTTTAGTGAATAGAAATATTAAGGTCTTGTTTTGATGTTAGCAGATTGACCTCAATTAGAGATTGACCCATCCGCTAATGAAATTGTTTGATAATTAAATAGCTTATTTGATCAACTTTTTAGCCCGAAACACTAATTTTGAAAGAGAGTAGAGATGTAAATGGGTCGGGTCGGGTCGGGTACGGGGTTTGACAAACCCGAACCCGACCCGCATGTAATTTACCCTACCCAAACCCGACCCGTTACCCGGTTAGTGATCTTTGAGTTCGGGTTGGGTTTTACCCGGTGGGTTAGTGGGTTTTCTTCGGGTAAATGGGTAACCCGAGTTTTTAAATTTGGGCTTTACTAGATCCATCTCGTTTCATATTAAAAATAAAATAAAATAATTTCACAATTAATTATAATGTAACAAACAATTTATTAACTAAGTTCGACAATAAAAAACTACAAAAAAACTATTATATTATTTTTGGAATAAATAATGAGATATAATTATTTATCTTGTATAGTCAATTTAATAATATTAATTTAAAAGTTAAGTATTTAAATTTTTTATCATACAATTAACAAAAATTGATTATAAAATCATAAAAAAAATTAACCATTAATCAAACTTATAATAAATAATCTAATTTTTATACTAATAACACATGACTACTTTTATATTTATAATAATTTATAAATACATATATATGTGTATATATAATATTCAATGGTTGCGGGTAAACGGGTAGGGTAATCGGGTCGGGTAGCGGATTTTTCTACTATAACCATACCCGACCCGACCCGGGGTTCGGGTAGAATAACTCTACCCGAACCCGACCCAAAACCTGATCTTCTCGGGTTTACCCGACCCGAAATTGCGGGTAACCCGTGGGTAACTCGACCCTACGGGTTTTATTGACATCCCTAAAAGAGAGATTTCGTAAAATAACATGTCAACTTAAGATTTATAAAATAGTTATACAATCCGTTATTTATAAATTGTTATTTACGAACAACTAATATAAATCGTTAGTCAAATCAATTGTTAAATGCGGCTTATGCATAAAAATACAAACACTAACAAATAAAACATTCTCTTGGGCATCATAATAACAATAATAATAATAATATAATAATAATAACAACTTGAATATTTTTCCATTTAATATAATAAAATTCGAGCCTTTCCCTTATTTTTTGGGTTTTATTCAGCATATAATAATATGTGTCTACGGTCTACCCTACGGTTGGGATAAAGTAACAAATGCCGGTTTTCTCCAGAAAGAGATAAACCCTATTGCAGCAAAATAACGGCCCATATGGATCCGTAAACGGGTCGTCCCGATAAATCGGCACCACGTTAACAAACGGATTCTCTTTCTCTATTTGGGCCTTGCATTTTTGGGCTGGTTGGCCCACTAGTTCCGGCCATTCCCTCTTGTAACCTAAACCAGAGACATGAAAAATTTAATTAAAAAAAATTAAAAATTAAATAATAAATATGAATCTTGATTATATGACTGCATATTATGCGTGAGTTTGAATATTAGGTTTTTGGATTAATTTTTTTAATTACTTTTTGTATTAAAAAGGGAATGCTACAGTCTTGTTACGTAACCATTCCGCCTGAGTTTGTAACCGTTAGATAATTATGTAACCGTCAGGGATAGTTGATCTAACGGCTACAAATTACGACGGAATGACTCATAACGGGACCGTAACATCTCCCGTTAAAAAATCGATTTTCCTAACAAAGAAATGAAATAAACTTACCTCTGTAATTGCAATGTGCAGCACAAGGTGGATAGGGTCGTTTGTGAGAAGACATGTTTTTTTTATAATCTCTCTATTTTATTTTTCTGAATGCATAATTACCAATGATTAGGAACATATAAATATTGGAAGTATCTTTCCTTTATTTTGGTGATAGATCGAATAGAAGTAATTTGCATTGTACATCTTTATAAAATGGGCATTGGTGTTTAATTTTGTTATCCAATATTGGATCAATTAAAAAGATTGCAAGATCGCCTTAATTACGTGTTCGTGCAATTTTAAAATATTTATATATCTAAATTTATATCTACTAATGCGGTACCCGTGCGATGCACGAGCAAATTTTATTAGGGAAACATTTATATTTGGATGATTGGAAAAACGTAAAAACCATGTATTGAAATAAAACAAAATTTAATTTATATATTATTAAATAGAAAACAACGTACCTCTGTTTAAACCGTATGTGAAAAATAAACACTTGACACCTATATATATATATTAGGATTCTAAATAGGCTTAAATAAATCAATTAAAGTATTTACCAGAATTTTTATGATATGATTTATACTGATATATATGGTATGATTTATACTAGTTTTATGAATATTGCATAGCCAAATATAACGGAGATTGTAAAACGTCTTTTTTGATAATCTATAGCCTTATTACTTTAAAATTGTAAATTACTTCATTTTAGGAAGGAAAAAATTGTGTACGTGCATGCAATCAATTTCAAATTTGTATTCTATAGGATTAAACATTTTTAGAATGTTCCGTTCCGATTTGTTACAATTAGGTAAAAATACATGTGACAGTATCTTGTCTACTTCGAAATTCTCGATTTTATGATAAACATTTTTTTTAAAAAATATAAAGATGTGAGAATTTTGACTTTTACAAAATTGTCATGCCAAATTTTACACAAATTAACCAGATTTATATCTAATTTTTTTAATAAACAACTGATCTGTTGTAATTAGAAAAAGATATATGCAACAATATTTTGTGTAATAAGAAATTCTTGATTTTATGGTAATCAGATTTTTTTTTTTATTAAAAAACGAGAAAGAAATTTGAATTTTGCAAAATTGTAAGCATTAGTCCAAATTTACCTAAATCGAATCCACAAAACCCATTATTTTGGAGTGCATATATAGCTGCTTAATTTTTTGGGAATAATTTAAACAGAAAATTAAAAAACTGCCGAAAATATAATGCAATAAATATGTTGGTTGACTTTTCTTGTTACATATATAAAGAGAACATATTTACCTAAAATAGTAACAAGAAAAGTCAACAAGTATTTATTGTATTCTATTTTCGGCAGCTTTTTAATTTTCTATTTAAATTATTTCCGAAAAATCAAGCAGCTATATATGCACTCTAATTTTATGGGTTTTGTGGATTTTATTTAAGGAAATTTTGACTAATGCTTACAATTTGACAAAAATCAATTTTTTCTCATTTTTTAATTAAAATAAATCTGATTATCATAAAATCGAGAATTTTGTATTAGACAAAATACTATCGCATATATATTTTCCTAATTGCAACATATCAATTGTTTTAAAACATCAGATTGCATAGAAATCGGGTTAATTTAGGTAAAATTCAGCATGACAATTTTGTATAAGTCAAAATTCACTCATTTTTATTAAAATAACTGTTTACCATAAAATCAAGAATTTGAATTAAGTAAAATATTATAACATGTATCTTTACCTAATTGCAACATATTATGTTTATATATAAAAAAATAAATCGGATTGCATATAAATCGGCCTAGTTTCAAATTGATAATTAAAATTTAAAATCCCGTATCATTTGGTACTACTTTTTTTAGTTCATATTTTCTTTGTACATAAAACAGAGTAAGATAATTAATAATGAAATTGGATTGGAACATTCTAAAAATTTGGGTTTTGTTTATTCCTATAGAATAGAATACAAACAGAGTAAGACAATTGTTTTCAGTTCTTATTCCAAACTGATGAAGATAGGGATAAGATTATGAAAGGGAAATCATGGTCTTTTGAGGATCAATACACACTGTTAGATTGTCTTTCGAAAGCTGATGGATCCAACTACAATAGCTCTACGGAACTTCTCTCTGAACTACAATGCTATGTTGATAGGATTTTTAAATCCTCTAACCCCCTGGATAAACATTGTAGTTTGGAGGGGGCTAGATGACGTAGCACAGAAAATGCCAGGTGGACTTGAGCCGTGGGATCGAGTTTGGCCAGCCGCAAAGATAAAGTCCGCTTATGTGGTTTACAAGATATATGTTATTAGTTAAAATTCTTAAAAGAGATAGAAGTAATCTGGTTCGCAGTTGCCGTCATCACCCATCCACCTCCATTACATGACATCAGGGCCGGCCCTGGCCCAGGGCAACCTGGGCTACGGCCCAGGGCCCAACTCAATTAAGGGGCACCAAATTCAGTAGTACTTGAGTTCGGTATATGTGAAGTTGTGAACATGGGAAAAAGAAAAACAGTATTCTTTACTCTTTTTATTGACTCTTTTTCCAAGTAGGTGAACAATGTGGAGAGAGAAAAACAATAAATAGTGCTCATTATTTTTTTTATAATGTTCATTTGAATATTGCCTCTTTATTTATTTATTTATTTGTTTTTGGATGCAATGCCTCTTTATTGACTCTTTAATAGTAATTAAGATGTTCTTGTAACATGTTATTATCTCTTTATTATTATTACAATACACATTTTTTATCACACAGTCATACATAAAAAATTACACATATTTTTTTTACATAACTACAGTTTATCTTTTTCTTTTCACTTTATTACATATTATTACACTATCTTTCAAGTTACTATTTATATAATAAAAAAGTATTTTATTTATTGATTG